GTGTCTCTATAAAAAAGCCATCGAAGTAAATAGAAGGAAACCAAACCCCACCTATCCCCCCAACCCCCTGTGGGGGGGAGGGGGGAATTCTGGGAGTTGAAGTCCACTCATCTTAAAGTGGCCAAGTTTGGACAACACTGTCTCTGGGGACCAAATTGGATGCAGTTCTAGTTTACATTTCAGCCCCAAACAAGTCAAGTTAAAATCAAATCCCATTAACTTTCACTATGCTCCATCTCCAAACTCTTTTCTCTAAAGGTAAGCAATGATTCACAGCAACAATCCAAATTTGATCAGGTACAGCACACGTTAACACCCAACTTGTGTAGCTCAATTCAATCTGAGGCTTCCAAACCACTTCACATCTCTCTAGCATATAAATCAATCTCTCCCTATTTGCCATGGAGATAAAAGGCCTGATCTTCCTTTAAAAATGAATTAAGAATTACTGAATGTTTCTATGAACACTTTTATCAAGTGCAAAAAGGAACCATTTAGCATTACTCCCATTACTCTTCTTCTCTAAGGAAAAAGCCCTCATTTAGGGGAAGGTGCTTTAGCTTGTAAGCAGTTATAGAAGACCCACTTGCCAAGTACAGTAGCTTTCCTACTGGAATTTCATGTTTTGGAGTCAAATTTTAAGATCTGGGGAAGCAGGGAATATTTCATGGATTTGTCGTAGCTGAAGGAATTTCCTTTAACTGCAACCTGCTCCTTTTTTCCCAAATAAAGCTTTTTGGGGTAATATGGAAAAGGCATGTTGTCTGCATTGTTCCTAAATGATCTGAGGGAAATTCATGTTCAGCTCCAGTTTTTGTACACAAGCATTCTGTAAGGCCAGAATTCTGTCTAGTGTAGCCCTATCTTCTGTGGATAGCATGGCCATTTTGGGGGAAGACCAATAAAAGGGGAAGCAAGGGCCATGGCAGTCTACTTTAACAATCTACAGAACACACACATGAATCATCTTGATGCAACCTTTGCTGCCATTATAAGATATATTATATTCCATTAAAATATCAAAATTATTTCTAAATTTATATCTGCACTTACTATGCCAATCTAATGCAAATCTGCATTCTATTTTTTCTCCTTTTTCGATAACGCAGAAATGAGCACTGTAATTTACAGCACACACTAAGATACTGTGGGTTCAGATCCTAATGCAGCAAGCATACAGGGCAAAGTATTTATTTACTCATCTTGCCTTCCAAGCAATATGCATAGGGGTGCCGGTGAGTCTTCCGGCTTTAAACAGAAACTGCAGAATGCCCTATAAATACTTTGAATATATTGAAAAGTAGCTATGATAAAATTGGCAGACATCTCTGCTCTTTGGTTTGAGCACATAATACTGAACCTATTTACTTGAAGTCTCCTTACAATCAAGGTAACCTGCTTTCAGAAAGGAAGGAGCAAAGCAACTATTGCAATGAAGTTCTGGAACTCTTAATCTAATCCTAATCTTACTCTAACGTAGTTTTCCTTTTATTAAGTCAGTCCATCGGGACTGGAACTGAAGAAGAAGAATTGTCTGGATTCCTATGCCAGGAGTGGACAACCTGCTGTCCTAGGGCCACCGGAGGCCCCAAGTCTCATTTTTGTGGCCTTTGGTCTATCTCCACGACAGCAATTTTGTACCTTTTTGACAAAGGAAAAAGATGAAACTGGCAATATAAGTCCTCAAACAGGAGTATTACAATTAACAAATTTAAAAAAAAAAAAAAACCTTCCATCCCAAAAACAAGCCTCATCCTATATGGCTGGAATAGCCCCACCCACTTTGCTGGCATTGGTCTCCAACAAACGATTTTGCCCATTGGCCATCAAAACTTGCTCATTTCTGCCCAAGGCTATTGTTCCAGTTATGATCCCTCCTCCAAAAGCTGCTATTATCTGTAAGGGGTTACACATTTGTGGCTATAGTATTTTTACTAAAGTAATATTTAGTAAGATCAACATAACATATAGTTAGCGTCTAGTTAGTCTTGGGCAATGTAATCCCAAGCATGTTTACTTAAAATAAATCTCCCTGTGATCAAGAAGACTAAGACGTGCTTATGTTGCAAAAGACAGTGCAATCTTGTGCAAAGGACCACAGAAGTAAGATTCACTGTATTCAGTATGGCATGCTATCAATATGCTAAGAACATAGTCTTAGCAAAACCTAGTTTTATAAAACACAAAATACATTTTACATAGTATTTATCATATGCCACATTGCAGTAGTTCCAATATGATGTTATTCAGAAAAAAAAAATCCTTATTTCATATTTCCCTTTCATATACAGTTTAAAAAGGAATCTTTTGATCTTTACAATTTCTCCAAATTTATACAGCAGCTAGCCTACAACTTTTAGTGGAGACAAAATTTCCACCACTTGGTAATGGCATTTCTTATCTTACATGTATAGTGACCTGGCAAAACATAAGAACAGCCAAGTCACCTTCCACGCATCATGCAGCTCATGTATGCAGGGCATATTGTGACTGATTCATTTGCGATGTTAACCTTTTTGGTCAGTCTTCATAGCCCTCTACTTACCTAATGATGACTGCTTCACATACCTTTATTTTCCAAATGTTATCTTTGATAGTTGCATCAATGACCTAGACGTCCACAAAATGATTTTAAAATTTTGGTTAAGTTTCGAAATATTTTCTTACTGTAGATATGGCTAATTTATTTCAGATCAGTCATTTAAAAACTTCTGCTTTCTGCTATATCTTCTTCAACAATTAGAAGAACAGTTGCACATTTAAAAGAGGAAGCCACAAGTCTGGCTTTAAATATTGCAATCACCACAGTCTGAAGTATAATGAAGTTCTTGATTTAAAAGAAGAGGAAGGACTTGTGGTCATAATGGAAAAAAAAAAGAAAGAAAGAAAGAAAGAAAGAAAGAAATCCCCTGAAGATGGACAAGCTGTAGAAAATTAGAAAAATTTTAAGTCTAAGATGATTTATTGGGACTTACTTTAGAAGTCAGCGACTTAGTCCCCAAGGTCAATTCTCTTGGTGCTCACTAGATATTCTGTCCCTGACTTTACTTTTTAGATTCTTGTAATTTTTAAAAAGGAATTTAGATTCTTTTGATTCACGAACAAACAAGCAAAACTTTTGATTCACAAACAAACAAGCAAAACAAGCCCCATGTAGACTACTGCAATGCACTCTACATGGGGCTACCCTTGAAGAGTATCTGGAAGCTTCAGCTGGTCCAGAATGCAGCCACGCGAGCTATTTTTGGGGTCTGAAGAAGGACCCGTATAACTCCATTGCTCCGTGAGCTGCATTGGGTATCGGTTTGCTTCCGGGTC